TCTTTCCCTTCCAACCTTTCATCCTCCTTTATGTCCTGAAATGAAGCCTAGCTTATCCATCACTCAGCATCTCTTGTCAGAGCAGGAAGCCACACATGAGATACTGTAATGCTTTTATTAATGCTTCACGTCTGACAAAGCCATATGGAGCTGAGCTCACAGATTTGAGTATGTGTCTGTATGCAAGCCTGTGTCTTCGGTGCATGTGCGCACAAGTTGAGACATCTCCCATCGCATCTGAACAAAGACTGAAGACTGAAAACCTAAAAAGTAATTTATGACTTTTTCCAGGTACTTTGTGATATTCAAAAGCAATATCACCAAACTATTACATATATTTTGCAATAGTCACTTTTAGTACTGGGCCAAACAGATTTTAGAACAGAAGTGGAATTTGAGATTATTACTGACCTGTCAAAATGACTGTGATTCTACATATGCAAGTGAATGAAAAGGGTTCTAGGTAAAAGTTGATGCATGACTACACCACCAGTCAAAGGTTTTGACACTTTCTCGTTCAGTTCAATAGAGTGTCTTAGTAGTAAAGCCAAAACCTAGAACTGAGTCAGTATTTTTTCACTTCCAGTTCCCTCATCCTGGGGTCAGTGGGCTTTTGGTTAGATGCCTGAAATAAGGTCAGTGGTTAACACAAGGTCAGTGCATGTTCACATTTTATTCTATGACCATGGTGTAGTTCATTTATAGCCTAACAATAGCTTTTTATTTCTGGCAATTGTATTTGGACTTCAAAAATCATAAAGTGTTGTTCACTTGTAAAGATGATCTTGCTGAACAAAATGTGTAAGTGTCATAAACTGCTGTTTGTCACTGAGCTTTTTTTTTTGCAATAATCTAAAAGACTATGAAAAAACCCCATTGGTCTTATGTTGAAGGAACCAGGGTGAAGCTAACTTCCAAGGTGGCGTACAAAAATACACCATCGCTGCAGCATTCTGTTGGAAAGTGTGTCCAAACCTATGACAGGCAGTGTATAGTTGTGTGACATGAGTCTTGTCATAGCTCTTGTCCTCTGAAATAATTCTCTACTTCAAAATTCTGTGAGCTGTTACTTAGTTAACCTTCAACTGTTTTTGCCTTTGCAAATTACTAATTAGTTCACAGGGCCATACATTTCTATTGGTACGAACATTTTATGTCAAAGATAATTTATCGTTGCACATTAATCTAGCTTCATGTATATTTTTAAACTATTCTTGCAGACATCTGACATTTGTGAGTCAGCTTGCAAAGAGCCAAAAGTCTGACTGGCTGTTGCATTTCTAAAATTATTTATTCAAGGTATGGACAGGCTGTTGAGACTTGTCAGGGAAAGCTAGGTGGGAAAAAGTAATGTTGTGCTCAGGTATTCTGATTGCCCTCAGGGGAGTGTTCATGGCTAAGGGTGTGCATGTGTGTGTGTATATGAGAGCTTGCAATGTGTGTGTGGTTGAGGGGCTTAGTAATGGTGTCTCAACAAGGAATCCAAGAACTTGTTGGTGTAGAAATGACAGCCGACAGTTTCATAGCTGTCTTCAGGCCAGAGGCTGTCTGGTGGGAAAGCCGAATCAGAATAGGGATGATCAGTGGAATGTTTTCACATGTTAATTTAGAAAATGTAGCCCAAACTCTTTGGGCTGTAAACTGACACTCATATGTAAAATTGATGGCGTACCACTGTCTATTTGTGAAGATAAAAAAGGATGGTTGATCCATGATACTTGGTTGCAAGAGCTGGCTGATACAAGGATTTGGGGTTTAAATGACATGTTAAAAACCACCTACTGATAAGTTGAAATGTCATATGATTTGATGAAATTTTCCAAATAAAACCTGGAAATTGGGTTGTGGTCTCCCTCATGTTTAAGATGCACGCTGTGCATGTTGTCAGGTAAAGTACAGCCACTGTTTTCTGTTTGTCTATGCTTTGCCTCACCTATCAAAAAAGGAAAAATTATATTAAAAACAACCAAAGAAGAAAGGTTTTTATTGTATATATTGAGCTGTATATACTGTAATTCTACCATAGGGTGCACTGTTGCATTTCAAGCCCAGTGTAGCAAGTCCACACAGGACAACTGTCTACTCTGTTTTTTTTTTGTTTTTGTTTTTTTTTTGGAAGGTCCCAATTTGATTTCTACAGGGAAGATTTTTGAGATTTCACGAGTGTGTTGGGGCATGTTAAGGCTTTTCCATCCCTTGTACCGGTGTCTTTGGGTGAATCTGAACACGCACATATGCATGCATGTGCATGTGTAAATTCCCATAAACTGAAGAATCCGTGAAGACTATCACAGCTCAGCACATTCCCATTAAATTTAACTGTTCCTCTGACAAATGTTTTGTTGTTGTCATTTCATTCCATGTTTTATCTTTTTTCAGTCTGTCCTTTTTGAACATCCTCTTTTCATCTGCCATCTGCAGCTTCTCATATTAATGCCCACAAATCATGTCTGCTGAATAATAATCATGCATTGATTCTAATACATAACACAGACCAAAGTTCTCCAGTCAGGATTTTTATGTGATAATTGCGGTGTCCTGTGGTCCCACCTCCACTATTTTATCATTTTATAAGTCAGCTTTTTATTTGTCCAAACTGCCTTCTATTATTTAAAAAGAATTATTTTCTATTATTGCCTTGTGCCCTGACAGATGACTTAATGGCTCAAATCAAATGTCATTTCATTTTTAATACCCTAGGTCCCTCTCTTAAAGCATTTTACTCAAGGTTAACCTTTCACTCCTTAGGTTCATCTACAGCTACTTCTTGAGAGAACAGCTTTTAGTCTGTGTCGTCGGTGTTTTCAGTTTAGTTTTGCATGAATTGACATTTGCTTTATAGCTAATGGATCTGATTCTTTACATGTTCACTTACTACATAATAAGTCACTCTAGATATGAGTGTATGCAAAATGCCAGAACTGTGAAAATTTAGCTGCAAATTTTAGCAGAACTGTGATTTTGCATTTTGTTGGACGAAGTATTAGTTCACTTTCCCATTTGACTGACAATGACTGTGATGTTCTGAGAATATTTAAGGCAAATGGTGGTTTTATCGACTTGGTACACTGACTTGAGCTTCTCTGGCACTGTGTGTTTTTTCCCACCCAGTACTCTCCACTGCTGAAGAAACTCTACTGCCAGATTGCAAAGACCTGTCCCATCCAAATCAAGCTGTCCTCCTCTCCTCCACATGGCAGCATCATCAGAGCCATGCCTGTCTACAAGAAGGCGGAGCACGTCACAGAAGTGGTCAAACGCTGCCCCAATCATGAATTAGGCAGAGACTTCAATGATGGTAATCACCCAGATGGCACAATACATTAATCATAATTTTTGGTGTGAATTATGCCCTAAACACACACATTTTGTGCACTAAGCTTTTGATTAACAAAACTATTTGGTGTTTGGATTGTATGATGCATTGACAAGATCTGTGTCCTCACCTTTCCTCTATCATTCTCTCCACAGGTCAAGCAGCCCCGGCCAGTCACCTGATCCGAGTGGAGGGGAATAATCTCTGTCAGTACGTTGATGATCCCGTCACTGGCCGACAGAGCGTCTTCGTGCCCTATGAGGCTCCACAGGTTGGTTGTTCATCAGTTGCTGTGTATCATCGCACACAATGCATTGTGTTAGGTACCTTAGGGAATGGACTTGTGACTTAAACATCAAAAATTAAGTCTACAGTGAATCTATATAATATTTGAGAAAGTTCATGAAGTGATGAGGCGAATCCTCACTGACTTCCATTATTAAACCTATATTAGCACTTTGGGCTTATGGTTAGATGTAGAAAAAGCCTTTGACAAAAATTTGATGTGGACTGAGCAAATACATACACATCTCAGCACCTGAAAGACCTCCTTAATGTTTAATTCATTCATCCCGTGCTTTATTGTAGACAGAATGGATGAGTCAAGAAGGTTCAGTGGATTCAGTCTAATAATAATAATGTCAGGCCTGTCCAAACAAGCACATGCGTGAGAATTCATCATATCTAAGATTACTCCTGAGGACTTTAATGAAAAGCAGAGATGTCATGTCTCACATCAAAGTGCACTACAACGCTGCCCTCTGGTGGTAGATTGGCCACATTTACTGTAAAATGGGGCCTTTGTTTTTGTGCAAACTGAAAGAAACTGTTTGACCCACAGAAATCCTGAAATTCCTTGATAAGTGTCAGATAGACTAAACCAACAACAACAAAACTTAAATCCTTAAACATCACCTTGTTTGTGGGATTCACTATTTTGTTTTGCAGGTGGGGACTGAGTTTACCACCATTCTGTATAACTTCATGTGCAACAGCAGCTGTGTGGGTGGCATGAACAGGAGACCCATCCTCATCATCATCACTTTGGAGACCAGGGAGTAAGTCAGCAATTCATAAATCATAGATGCAAACTGTTCCAAAGTACTTTAGATACATCATTTGACTTTAAGAAGCAGCCTTTAGGCCCTTGCTACTTGCTTTATTTTTAATATGCTTGTGTCTGATTATTTTATGCTAGTGAGTTGGGATAAATGAGTTTACAAATGTTCACAACAATATATATTGTCACGTAGTCAAAATGACTAAGTTACAGTTCGATGGAAAATGCAGAACATACACTGCAGATTATAAATACTACTTCTATTACCACATATATGTAATGTTCAGTGTCATTTACCATAATGTAAATTTTAGCATAAAGTATAGTTGCAGCGAGAGTGTAGTGTGAGAATATCTAATGCACTGATCCACCAAGCTAAAGTAAGACTGGACTTAATTTGGAATGTTTGAGACAGAGTTTTCTTAACAAGTCTTGAGTATATTTTCTATCACCAATTATCTCTGCAGTGGTCAAGTGTTGGGCAGAAGGTCATTCGAAGGTCGGATATGTGCGTGTCCTGGCCGAGACCGCAAAGCCGACGAGGACCACTTCAGGGAACAACAGGCCATGAATGAGAGCGTGGCCAAAAATGGCAGTGCCAACAAGCGCAGTGAGCTGAAATTCTCAGATTCTGTGGCATGTTTTTGTTCATTATTGTTGGCTGCTAGTTGTCCAATTGTGTAATGTGTTAGAAACCTGTTTGATTATGATTGTTTCTGTTGTCTGCAGACTTTAAACAGAGTCCGTCAAATATTCCCAGTCCAAATATTAACATGAGAAAGAGGCGGCATGGAGAAGAAGAGCTTTTCTATATTCCAGTAAGAGACTTTCCAACACTTATTATTTTACATGAAACATTATAGTGTCATAAATTACAGATAATTTACATTTGGTGTATGAGATTTCAAACCCTACAATTATTTGGTTCAGTCTTGTAGCAATATGTGGAAATATTTACACTGACTTTATAGAGAGTCAAATACCATTGTTTTTAAAGCCCGTTTCAGATATGCACTGGAACCCTATAATTATCTAGACATTACCTGGACGAGCTGTGTGTGAGAACACAAATGTCTGAGTCAGTTGACCTAGACATTAAGCAGACTTTACTCTGCCAGCTCCCTAATACAAAGTCTGCGTAATGTCCGAGTGAGCCAGAGTGAGCCCATGTGAGAATACAGCAGCGTATAATCCATAGTATTCATACAAAGCTAGTGGGTATGTTGATGTTCTATCATATGAGTGGTGTGAAACCTGAACAATACAAACATCTGATGGTGAAGAAAAATGGTCATTTACAATTAAGACACCAATCAAAATATCTAACTGGAGACACAATGAGATTCGGGAAAAACTGTTGTTAAGATCCTTAACAGAACACAATCCATAGTATTCATACAAAGCTAGTGGGTATGTTGATGTTCTATCATATGAGTGGTGTGAAACCTGAACAATACAAACATCTGATGGTGAAGAAAAATGGTCATTTACAATTAAGACACCAATCAAAATATCTAACTGGAGACACAATGAGATTCAGGAAAAACTGTTGTTAAATTTGAAGTAGGCAAAAGAATCAGTTGTTTATGACAGCATTACAAACCGGCCATGAGACTGTGCCATGTGCAGTGCCAGAATCATCAGGCAAATTTGAAGTAGGCAAGAGAATCAGTTGTTTATGACAGCATTGCAAACCGGCCATGAGACTGTGCCATGTGCCACCTCCTGTGCACTGACATAGTCTGGAGTTCATGTGTGAAAATGGCTAAAGACTGAAAATAAATATACCACTGTTTAAAGGATGTGCTCTCTAGCCATTATTCCCTGATTGATTACGTTGCATGTTGCGTTGGGTGTAGGTTCGTGGTCGGGAGAATTTTGAGCTGCTGATGAAGATTAAAGACAGCTTGGAGCTGGTGGAGTTGGTGCCACTGCCACTGGTAGAATCCTACAGACAACAAGCACAGCAGCAACTGCTGCAGAGACCGTGAGTCATTCCAACACATATACACACACACAGACACACACACAAATACTTGATGATACACATACTGAACATAAATATGTGACTATAATGATCTGACCAACCGAAAAACATGCACACACAAAGAGGCTACTATCAAAAACAACATTGTAGTTACATGTGGTACATAAGATCGCATTCTCACTTTGCACTCACACTCATAAACACAGAACCCACATACACCTTCTTAAGGACAAAGGAAGTTATAAACTCAGAACAGAATGAAATAACCCTTACAAAAAGCTAAATGAACTGTGTCTTTTCTGCAGGAGCCATATAGCATCCCCCTCCTCCTACTCCCCACTGTCCAACATGAACAAGCTTCATACCCACGGTGGCCTCAGCAAATCGCCCTCAGTCAACCAGCTGGTGGGACAGCAGCCCCAGCAACACACCACTGCGCCCACCTCAATAGCTCATATGGGTGAGTATCTATATGTGATTCAAGTCAAACCAAGATGACAAGATGTTCTCATAAAGTGTGTTTTAAACCAATTAGTTATAAAGTTGTCTGCAAAGATAATACAGATGCCAAGAAAGACTATTTGAGCCAGTATAGTACAGTTCTTTGTGCTATTTTGCTGCTCATGATTTTATTGATCAACCTTCTCCATCTCACAGGGTCAAACATGCTCAACAGCCACCACATGCAGGCCAGTGGTGATATGAATGGTGGTCACAGCAGTCACACTATAGTGTCTGCTTCCCACTGCAGCCCGCCCCCTCCATATAACCCTGACCCCAGCCTCGTCAGGTACCTCACCCTCCAATGACACTCCTACTTTATTCTCCTAAATGGCCCTACAATCAGATGCACTTGTTGGGTTAAATGCTAATGGGTGCCATGGTGATGCCAAACCAGCTAGTTTATTTGGCCATGTTCATAAAATCTGGTCAAAATGTTTTTCTGAAAAGTTACCTTCTGCAGCGAAATGTGTCTAGTTACAGACAGTTTGGTTTGCTTACGGCTGCTTTGTAAAGGCTTGCATTTACATCACAAATCTCCTAGCAACCATTGCTGGTGCCATATTGAAGGTCCACTGCAGAATTGAGTGCATGGAAAAACATCTATACTTAATCCATGTGAACTGAAAAAAGAACAATAGCTGGAAAGGTTGTGTTATAGAAATATGTTAATGGAGGTAATGTCATAGGTAATGTTTTAGTTAAAAGTAAAACATGTATTGTATGTCTGTCTCAAAATTTTGGCTGTCATCATATAAAAGCACAGTACAAGATACAATATGTCTAAAAGTGCCTGACTGTGTTAGCAGGCCATTGGTCATTTACAGAACGGTTGGCATTCTTACCTAAGCCAGCTCCTGTTAGTTGCTAAGAGTCTAAATCAGATGTGTTGATTAGCTACCACTCAAAAACAGCACATTAATCATGTCTGTTTGTTCTGCTCATTCAGCCAAGCTGTTCAAGTGTTGTAGACCTATGGCTATCTATGGCTGCCAGAGGATTTATGTATCTTGAAAACCCAAACTGTGTCATTCAGTTACATCTAACATCATTCACACTATCACTGTTTAAGCCTTTCTTTGCAATGCACGACTGAATCTTCTTCAAAAGAAATTTCCATAGTTTAAATTTTATTTAATTTAATGCTTTTTGTTCACATTTTTCTAAGATAATGTGACATTGCAGTCATTTTAATACGTGGACTTTTGTAATTTTAACATTTTTGATACAGCAGACTTTGTCCACCTTTTTGGTTTCTAGGTTGTTATGTTTATGTTTATTGTACAGATAAATTAGGTTCTTTTTTGATTACATGTATGTTGCCAAAACTTCTACATTTCATGTATTTATAATAAAGGTTCTTCATCAAAGCAAGAATGGTCTTATGAATCATTAATATAAATTGATGTTTACGGTTTTACTTTCACTGCATTTATCTAGGTGTATGTGTTTGTATACTTGAAGCCTGATCTGTGCCCTAACTCTTTAACTCAATTTTGAAATAAACCAGTAATAGCTTGACTAGATGGTAAGATAATGACGTGACAAAACACAATGAGGTGCCTTCTATTCACCTTGGTCTAATAATAAATGTTGACCCTAATTATCAAGGATTTTCTTTATACTACTTCTCGCCACTGTTAAGTTATATTTCAGTCATACTTTTAGCTTTGTAGCCGCAGTTTAATGGCAGTCTAAGCAGCCCTGCTTTTCTCCCCATACAGTTTTCTAACCAGTCTGGGCTGTCAGAACTTCATTGAGTACTTCGCCTCCCAAGGTCTCCAGTCTATCTACCATCTGCAGACTCTCTCCATGGAGGTAACCGCTCTGCACTCACAGTTTCACAATGCAAATAATAATATTTTATGTTTACAGCACTTCAGAGAAACAAAAGAAAGGGTGGGAAATGAAACCATATAAATTACTTAGAAAAGTTAAAAAAAAAAAAAGTTTTCAGTTTTTAAAAATGCATTTAAAGATGGAAATCATTTAATTTAGTTTTTGACCACCTGTGATGATTTTGCATCTATCAGCAAACACATAAAGAGAGGCACATGCATTCTTATCATTCTTTTGTTTTATTTCAAATTCCTCCAGTGTCTAACTTTGTGCCTTCACCAGGATTTAGGTGCACTGAAGATACCAGAGCAGTCCCGCCTTGCCATCTGGCGAGGTCTGCAGGACATGAAACAAGGTGCTTCCCTCCAACTGCCTGCCTCTACTCATCATCATGACTATCATGGGCAGCAGCTTCTTCGCTCCAGCAGCAACATGGCTGCCTCTGCCCGTGTCATGGAGGCTGTGCACTTCCGTGTCCGCCATACCATCACCATACCCAACAGGTCAGGTGTTGTTGGGACATCAGGGATGGCAGCAGCAACTGATGAGTGGGCTGACTTTGGTTTCGATATGCCTGACTGTAAGGTGTCACGCAACAAGCACTCCATCAAAGAGGAGTTTCTGGAAAGTGATGTTCACTGAGCCCAGAAAGAATCTTGGGACTGTTTTGCCAATATTATTGTGAGCATCAGCCTGTTTATAGAGTAAACATATGGACATGGTCCTTAAATCAAATTTTAGGTGTTGCTGTCATATTTCAGTCAGTAATTTTGCAAAGAATTAAGTTTGCTCTTGAATGTGGGGCATTTTCAGTGTGTTAATGCACTTTCCTGTCCAGTCTTTATTTTGAACAGTTGTTCCACCCAAAAGAATAAACATGAGACAACACAAAGGATATCTCAAGTCTGCATAGTAAATACCACTGTGACAATAGCATTGTCAAATAAATGTTAAACTCACATGTCTGGACTATAGATTTTGGGACTATAGTTCAAAGAGGGAAATAATTATTCTGGAAAATGGGATGTTGCTTGGTTGCATTGTGCAATAATAAATGACACATTTTTAACAGCATCCACTTAAACCTATGGTGAACAAAAAGTGTAGCAACTGTGGATACGCAAATTTAGTTCTCCAGTGACTTATTTATTGCTCTTTTATTTTTTTATTTTTTTTGTAAAAATGTATATATTGCATCTTGTAAATGTTTTGGACTAGATGTGGTTAAAAGGGGTATTTAGATTCGACACTGTGTATTTCTTGTGTGAAACAAGTGTATAGTATTGAGTGGCAAATCAAACTCAGTTATGGGAATATATATATTTTAATGTGTATCATAATGTGATGACTTTTAGTTCAACATGCTCTTATCATTTCATTGTTAAAAATGTTTAATGGATGTTGGTATTAATAGTATGTATTCAGTAAAACTTATGGAGATCAAAGTCAACACATGATATCAAAAAACACTGAATCCATTACTTTCTGTTAAGCCACAGGAAATACTGTGCTACTTCTTGTATAGAGACACTGCAAAAGAGCTGAAAGACAACATACAAAAAAACAGTATTATATCTTAATTGCAAGGATTTAATCAGAATTGTGAATAATAAATTAAGAATGGTATCTGTTTATCAAGACACTAGACAACAAAGTAGCATTTTTGTCCTATTTAAAAAAAACCTTGCAGGGCAAGGTCTCATACATTGGTTATAGTTATCTGTGTACTTAGTGTGTATCTAAATGGCACTTCTTTGTGGATATTTAATAGCAACATTCCAGTTTTATTTCTAGATTGTCAACTAGCACAATTAACCAGTACACTTATAGTATAGTGTCAAATTTGTTTGTAGTAAGTACTTGACTTTACCATTACTATAAACTGTACTTGACTTACAGTCATTTTCTGAAGCCGTTTTACTTACAAAGACAAAAATACTTCACCCACACCAACTGGTCAAAGAAGCACCTTAATGCTTTAAAAGTAAAGTAATCAACAATTATTTGTGCTTATGATCAGTATTATTCTTTACTGTAAATAGTGTTTTGTCTTGATATCCCTGATCATTTTTATCCGTTTTGTAAAAATTAATAAGACGTGTAACTATGTAACTATCTTGTTGTTTATCAGTGTCCATTAGTTTGAGTTCAGTGTTTTTTCTTACAATTATAAATATTAAAATGTTTGCCTTTCTTTAATGTCTCTCTGTGGTGAAGTCTAAATCTAAGCAACAGTTAATAAGGCATGTTTTGGTATATTTAAACAAGCAGGAGAACGCTTGTCTTCACTTAAAGCCTGCTGGCTGACTTATGTTGTCCAGGCTCGACAGATCATTGTTTCGGGGCTCTACTATCCTGTCTACCGTATGTTCTGATCCTGCCGGAAGTACTGACGTGTACACATCAGTTTGTGTGAAAGGTGGCTAGTTTAGCTAGTAAGGAAGAGCCGGGTAGTGACACAGCGGCTGTATCAGGTAAGAAAAGAGTGTCGCTTTTTATTTTCCACTGTAATTACAAACACATCTAAAAAACAAAATTGAAAACGGTTATTTCATTCAGTGACGAGAGAAGTTTGATTTCGAACCGTGATAGCTGGCTAGCTAGGACCGCAAGCGACGTAATACGATGTCTCCGGAAGTGAGTTGTCAGAGTATGAAATTCCCTGCTGGTATTTGTAGTTTTAACATTCCTGGTATACATTAAGTGCAACGTAGAACGAGCAAGTTATGGACTACATTTTGATTTTGATAGGCTTCAATTGGAGCTACGGTGGAGTTGTGGGACATGTAGTTACATACATCCATTTAAGGGCTCGTAGAGGTTAAACGAAGCGTTATTAAAACTACATAACCCATAATAATCGTAGTTTGGGCCAAAGGGCATTGTACATCTAGATAGCTACTTAGCATCTTCTATGGCTAATTTGCCAGCTAACGCGAGTAACTACAGTATAATCACCGACGAAACATTAATAACAGTTATTTCGATCGTGGTCATGTTATGGCTTTCCCAGAGAGTCTGTTTTGATCAACATTACTTATCGGCTGCGTTTCTGACTGTTTAAACCTGATAGCTGGTTACGCAGCTAACGTTAGCGAGCTACAGACAGGAGCTCTTCTACACGTTACTGCCCTTTTAGCTAACCCTAATGTTACATGCCAGAATAAATCATTGAAATGCCCCATAATCGCAGCAGGGTGCAGTTAGTAATTAAACATGACCTCTAACCACAACGTTAAAGGTGGACAACCAACCAATGTTACCTAGAAAATTTATTATCCACTCGTTACCGAATGAATGAACATCTAAAAATCGTAAGTTAAACTAGCCAAAATATGTCACTATTTTCAAGTTACAAAAAGCGTTATTTATCTTGTTAGTTTTAACAGCATATCATTCGATCTCTCCGCGTGGTGGTCATGAATAACTGCTGACAGGTATTGCCAGACAGCTGGCCACCTGGTCTCACTTCATCAGAATCGAAAGATTACATACTACAACACTACTAGCAGGCCCTTTATTTATCTGATCATAGTTTCAGTTCATACACTCGCTTCTTAACCAGTGTTGCTGAAAGGGTTATTTGACAGTATCATCTTTATAAAAGACTATGGTAGGTATTTTCAGTAAAGAGTACAGAGAGTGTATTTAAAACTTAAAAGAACACAGATACTCTGCCTGTATGCTTAAATATCCATGTCGTCATCTACAGTTTATTTTCTTGAGATGCTACAAATTGGAAATCTAGAGTATGCTTCCATTTTAGGAGAGTCTTGTTCAAGTTGCATCCCAACTCCACCAAAAATTGAAGACTTCCATTTCCTTATTCCCTCTACTAATAGGTCAAATGTTACAAAAAAAAAAACAAAAAAAAAAACACGAACAGCAAATGAAGTGTATATTGGCATCTGTGTCTTTTCTCTTCACAAAAGCAATATAGTTTGAAAACAACTCTACCTTGCTGATTGAGGTTCCAGGTAATACCAAAGGTCAAAGTTGCTAGGCTTGTGCATGCTAGATATTGACACTGCCACTGCAATAGTCTACAGTATTTCAGCCTGACTGCCAAGTCAACCAAGTAGCTTATATCCATGTAATAAAAATCTCTTTTCCACCACGATTCTCAATGACAGAATGTCAGAAGGGGACAGTGCTGGGGAGTCAATCCATGGGAAACCATCTGTAGTTGCTGCCCTTTTCACACGGGTCGGACAGGTAATCTATCCATCATTAAGATCTCACATACATCATTTGCCCTAACCAGTGAACTGTACATCTCATGAACATCAAGCAAGTAGTATAATTACCCTGATAACACAAGTTTAAATAATACATTGAGTTGTTTCTAAAATGTTAATTTGGCATCAGTTAAAGTGGTGCTGGTTAAAGTAATTTCTTTGGAATTAATTAGCTAAGCTAGTGGCATTTTATTTTCAGAAAAGTATCTGTATTTGCATGTTAAAGGACCAGTTCTGTTATAACAGGGTCTCTCTCCACATTTCCAAAAATAATGCAATCACAAACATAGAATTTCACCACAGTATATTTACTTAATAACACACAAGTGAAGTTTCCCAGTAGATTTTGTGGCATGAAAGAACCAGTGCAGTGGCATTTGTAACTTCAATATGTCATTTACATGAATTGCAAATAACCAGCATCATGCTCCAATGTAAGACTTTGTTTCTTAGGCCTAATTCTCAAACTTTGCACTAAGCAGTACTATCGGTGCTGGAAAAAAAAGTGTTAACCGTGCATCCTGCTGCAAGTGGGAAGGTGGCTATTGATTTTTCCAATTGTATTTGTCAGTAAGGCATAAAAAGCCATGTGTTCAAGGGTTAGAGGATATTTAGATTTAACTATTTTACTTTCTATTAAGAAGAAGTTTGGATAATAATGGTTACAGGATGTTCAATTAATGTCCAATATTGGACAATATGTTCATAAAATGAAAGTATTCAGAGGTGTTTTATTCTACCTCAGTTGGCTACATTTTGCTTCCATTGTGTATTTTTTAAACAGGTCTATCAGTCATGGCTAGACAAGTCAACGCCATTCTATGCAGTCCGTTGGGCAGTTACTCTACTACTTACTGCTGTCTACATGGTCAGAGTGTACATACTACAGGTAATTGTCTGTTTTTTCTGATTTAGTGTATTGCTATTTGCTTTGGGAAATGAAAATGTCAGCCATGGGACTTTTAAATATTTGTATTTAAAGCAATATTGCTCCATGCTTTGGGTGTGGGTGTTTGATACGTTGACATATGTGACTCACCTGTCTATGGTTTTTATGAGATTCCCATGCCTAATGTCTAAAGTGAGGTTTTAATTGTTTGTCTAGTGTCCTGTTTTGTCTCCATGACATTGTTTCTCATTTGTGTGCTCAAGTTTCAGTAGCATTGGTGCGCTTTCTTGTTTACTGGGTATCTGGAAAGTCTATTAATGTGCTAATTTTCCTTATGTTGCTTTTCAGGGTTGGTATATAGTAACATATGCTTTGGGAATCTACCATCTCAACTTGTTCATTGCTTTTCTGTCGCCAAAAGTGGATCCTTCACTGCTTGATGAAGGCAAGTAAAACAGATGCTTGTTTGTTTGTTTTTTTTTTATATAAAGTCGTCATGTTGTGTACTGGTAGTAGGACTGCACAATAAATCGTTTTGAGTGTGATTTAGATCCCTGTACAATCTCAGTCGCACATGACAGTAATTTTGCAGTGTTTGCATTAACAGTGAGATCCCGTGCATCAAACTAAGCACTCCCTTTTCCTCGCCAAGCTGTGTTAACCATCAACTGCAACGTTGTTTATTTCTCCATTAACCGCTATTCGGCACCAGGTGTTTAGGGCAGGCAGCGCAATGTTTGAAAAGTAGTTTCAGGAGAGCACAGAATATCTTTCACAGTGTCCAACATGTTGGGTTTGTGTCGGAATCAGTCTTTTCTTCCTTTCTACAGGTCGTCACATGATGTAACGCATCACTGCTATTGGTTAACCCAGCTTAGCGAAGCAAAGGGAGTGTGGTTTGATGCAAGGCATCTCCCTGCTAATTCAAACATGGCAGAATCATTGTCATGTGAGACTGAGATGGCAAAGGGATCTCAATCACGCTCACAAAATGATTTACCATGCAGCCCTACTAGGTAGTAGGGTAAATCTTGGGCTGTTAACCTGCCATTTCATGTTGGCTGTAACCTATCTATGCTGCAGATGAGGGACCGTCCCTTCCTACCAAGCAGAATGAGGAGTTCCGCCCTTTCATCAGGAGGTTGCCTGAATTCAAATTCTGGTGAGAGTCCACCTCATGGTCTGGGCACCTGTCACTTTTATTAACAACAAGATTGTAAATTATGTTCTTTCAAATGACCTGTGGTCCAAGATTAAGACATGCAAAACCCATTTCCAAAATGGTTTAACATTTTAGCCTAAACCAATGACATTTGGGTTTAATTAATCCATGTATTTGCCTGTGACCCCACTATACATTATCTCGCATCCCCATCTCAGCTTTGTCTCCACTTCATTCCTGTGACCCATAGATCCCTTATAACATAAAAATGTATCTGTGACAAATGATCACAGCACAGGTTTGAGCAGTTGCAACCATTTAACTAAAAATTATGTATTGGGACCATACTACTAATTGAGCCTCAAAGCTATACTTCTCTGTGCTCTACCATTTACAGTTTGTGGTAAACATTGTCTGCCTTGTGTTTATGCAAAGTGTGTACCTTGTGTACTAAAACAGGAAGAGAGGAAAGTGGTTTTGCATTAGTCAAACTGCAGTTGACATTTGCCTGGTGTATGAAAAGATAAACTTTGGTTCCTCTTTCCTTGAGGTTCATCACTGCGCTGTCAACATTTGAGTTTTTTCAACAATATTCTGCTCATCAGTTGTTTGAAGAGTTATTGAGTGAACTAAGCTTAATATGTTCTAATGTAATTTATTTTCTTAAGATGTTAGGTTTAGTCAGCAACCTTTTGGCCACATTGAAATGAAACTCATTAAGGTCTTTGTCACATTACTATCCCCAAACTGATCCCCAAATGAAATATCCTTTAGTGTGTACACCTACTGTACATACATAACACTTGAGTTAAGTTAGAGTTAAGAATGTTGTTGACCTGTGATTCCTCTGTCACCGATGCGAGTACCCTGTTTAACTGAGGTTTCATTTCCTGTCAGGCATTCAGCAACAAAAGGCATCGTCATTGCCATGATTTGCACATTTTTTGATGCCTTCAATGTTCCAGTGTTCTGGCCTATACTTGTAATGTACTTCATCATGCTTTTCTGCATCACCATGAAGAGGCAGATTAAGGTAAAAACGATACACAGACTGACATGTACATGCACTGCATACATTGGGCCTCATTCATAAACAGCGCGTACACACAAATTTGTGCTTACACTGTGCGTATGAACAATTTTATCCATAAATCCAGTATTTAGCAATATTTTCTTGCCTAAATTTGTTCATACTCTGCAAACAAATTTAGAACTGCCTCAGACCATGTGTACACACAAATTATGAAGGCTTGGTGTTTGTGTGCAAACACACCTTTTAATTAAATGCATGGGATATTAAAACAGTATTCATTTTTAAAAAGTTATAACTGTATAATTAATTTAAAGCTTTAACTGTTAAATTACTAAATCACTGGCCAAATGTAGCCTATGAAATAACAATGAAATTGACGCCCTTTTTATCCTCATTGTTTACTGTCATTAGGGGTGTTATGATACACTTAGCTCATGAGACGAGACTATATTTCAACACTTTAAGAAATATTCAGTAATGAAATATTACTGGAAACAGTCTTTTATTCGACTGAAAGTCACAAAATGCTAAACAGTGCAGGTGCTTTTTGAAATGTTTTAATTAATCATCTTGTAGTGAATGTCACTTCACTTCTACTTTCTGAGTATGAATTATCATAAGCAGTAAAAGACAAGCAAGCATTGTAAAAAGTGTGCACTGTTTTACCACAAACAGTCCCAGGTGAAATTGGGCAAGAGGCAGGGTCCACCCTAGACAGGTCACCAGTCTATCACAGGGCTGACACTTAGAGACGGACAACCACACACACTCACTCCTACGGCCAATTTAGAATCACCATTCAATCTAAACTGCATGTCTTTGGACTGTGAGAAGAAGCTGGAGTACCCGGAAAGAACTCACATAGGCACAGGGGTCACCCAGGGATTGAACCCAGAACGATGGGGCGACAGTGCTAACCATTGTACAAACATATTTATTCATTTAACCCAGGAAAATTGATTGAGGTCAGAGACTTTTTGTAGTTTACAGTTTGTTGAATAGATCTGCTTTTTGGCTTATGCATCATGCACGTTAGCTGTTGTCGAAACGTGTTCTTGTAAATTGAAAAGAAAAGACTAAATATAAAGATATAAAATGTGAGGAACAGCACAGAACATAATGCAAATACAAAAATTAAAGTAGAGTTGACTCAGCAACCCTCTGACAGCATTTAGAAAAATGGAACATCTTAACATTGACTAAGGTCAGATTTTAATCTCACTGCACTATGTTATACAGGCGTTTCTGTTTTTATGTTCACGGTGCATTTGATTTATTTTGATTACCGTAAAATCTGGACTATTGAGCGCAGCAGACTATAAGCCACACCCACTAAATTTAAGAAGAAAAACAATTTTGTAAATATATATAGGCCGCACTTGTCTATAAGCCGCAGGTGTCCACGTTGTAACATGAGATATTTACATAGAAAGATGTTACACAGCTTTTGTCGTCTTTTTGGATTGAGTCAGTTCTTCACGCTGCCTTCTCCAACATCTCACCATCCATTCATTGATGCCAAGCTTACGTGCAGCAGCTCTATTTCCTTCTTCGACAGCCAGATCGATTGCCTTTACCTTGAAAGCTGCATCATATGCATTTCTTCGTGCGTTTTCTATGATAAGGGTGTGTTCATGAAGCGCAAAATGACTGATCTGAAGAATTTAGTGTGAGTGCATTTTATTTGATTCGAACAGTTTCATTGGTCCACTGTGACCTGTTCGGTAATTTCATTGGTCTGATGTGGCGAGGCTAAATGTATTGGCGGCATGAAGCTCATTAGCCCGTAAAAATCCATAAATTAGCCGCATCGTTGTTTAAGCTGCTGGGTTCAAAGCTTGTGAAAAAAGTAGTGGCTTATAGTCTGGATTTTACGGTACCTGAATATCTTATCTTGAGCACTGATTCTCTTTTAAATTTGCCTGATAAAATCAGCAGTCATTGTGCTATTCCAATACACGGTTGGTAAAAATGTATGAGCAATCCCTAGAAATACCTGCCACTAACAATCCTCTTTTTTTTTTTTTTTTTCCTTTCCCCTAGCATATGATCAAGTACAGATACCTACCATTCACACATGGGAAGAGGACATACAAAGGCAAGGAAGACACAGCGAAAACGTTTGCCAGTTAAACACCTTCCCCTCCTCATTTGAAATGTATCAGTCATGGCTAGTGGGGAGTGACAAGGGTTTGAGATTTATTTTCCTTTTTTAAGTGGGACAGTAACATGAAAACATGACATGTAAAGTACGAGTTTTGGTCCATGGTTCACAGTGTTGAATGAGGGTATGAGCAGCATGGATCAAATTAGTCTGAGATTTTTGCCTTTGTCTGTTAAGGGGTAGGAATTTTTTTTTTTTTTTTTTTTTTTTTTATAACCATTTTGAGAACCCACGATTAAGATTGGTCTGCATTTGTTCAGTAGTAGGTGAGACTCAGTGCTGCCTTTTACCTTTTTACCCTATGGGGAAAGTATGAAGTCATCAAGAAGGAACCACACTGAAAAACATTGCTGTGAAATTTGTAATTCATTCTTTTTCCAATAACGGTGACTGCAGTGTCTCCTTCTCCCAAGTGAAATAAATCTGCCAACGTTTAATTCATATATTGGTACCTACGTCTTTGCAAGTTATATATTGAAAGCCAGTAGTGTAAGTACCAAAATAACACGATTAGATGTGTAAGATGAAATCTAAAGATAATCCAGATGTCTGAGTTGATAAAGTGTGCTGCTAGCTAGTGTCTCTGCCAGTTGTCATCTGTATTAAATGCAGGCACTATGTAGAAAGTAGTGTAGTCTTATTTCATTTGAATATGCATCCATGGCAGGCAAGAAACACCTATGATAATTAATTGGCTATTAATGCAATTCTGTATATTATCCAGTTCACACTAGTTGATACTAGCATAGCCACTGGAGCAAGTATCAATATGGATGATTATAATTGGCATCTGAATATTCAGCCACCCACCACATCATTGAAAGCAAGGAGACTGTCACTAACCCCACCCCTTTTAGTCTCCTATACCCTACATTTAAATCAGTTCTGTCTACTTTTGCGCTATTTGTAGAGTATAACAGATGGGATACTGTGTTGTTGAACACATCTATAAATGAGAATTGTATGTCATTCTAGGGGGCATCTAGCTTCAAGGGAAAATCTGTGAACTCGCTTTACACATCACATGCTCTCATGAAAATACACAACCAGTATTCAGGTCAAATTTATAACAAGTTCTAATCTGAGATTCTAATCAAGCAATTCCACATTTACCCCAAACAGCCTTTCGCTTTGAAACATTTCCCATCTCTGTTTCAAAGCCTGAAGCAGGCCGTTCAGTTCCTGTACATTAGCTGTTGTAATCCTTTATAATCTGTTCTTATTTCAGAAAAAATAGTTGAAGTAAATGCAGTCATTCCAAACAAACTGTTGTTCTTTCTTTTGCAGAGGAAACATAAGAAAACAGAGATTGAGAACTTGTGATAACAAATGGATGAAGTGGGTGGCCATCACACTGTTTTCCATACACTTGTTGCTTTTGTTCTTCTTGTTTTTTCTTCTTTCCCTTCCATTTTCTATAAAATGTTGGGGATTATCTGTCATTACTAAACTTTGATCAGCAGTGTAGTAAGGGATCAGAACATTTTCCTGTACAAAGTTTGTGTTTCAAAGGGTTGTCTGGAGGATTTGTATGCGTGTATATATATATGTTAATGATTTTTATGAGATTATTTTTATTTTTGGTTTTCTTCCAACCACCATAGTGTTTCCAAATGTTTAAATCCATTTCATTTGTAGCTGATAAAAGCAGAACTTGTTGATTGGATTCCAAATTTGATTAATCAAATACTGTTTCTCATGGGTTGCATGTTATTGTTTTGTGCTACAGTTATTTAAAAAAAAAAACAATTTTAATAACTTGAGTGTAATTTTTCACTCCAAATTCTATTAAAGAGGCTGTGTCCCTACAAACGGTACATTACTGTCTCAGCTTCATGTTTTGTAGGTATTCATAAAGGACAGTTAGAGTTCGGGCCAGGGTTACAGTGGCCTCTGAGCAGAATAATGTGCACTGTTCAGGAATGATTTGAGGAACATAATAGTTACCTTGACCTCAAATTCTACAAGATTTTAATCCAATCAAGCATCGGTGGGATGTGCTAGAAAATCAGGTCTGACTCCCAGAGGATTTGAAAGATTTGCTGCATCTTGTGACAGACACCAGCAGACTCCTCCCGAGGCCTTGTGAAGACCAACTCTCAATCGGATCAGAGCTGTTTTTGTAGCATGAGGGGGTTCTACACATTAGGCAGCTATTTTTAATTTTCTGGCTAATTCATACATGCCTACATACAGATGGAAGCATTCAACTCTGTGTAGACATCACAGGGAGTCTGCAGCGTAAATGCTTTTTGCATACCTGATTTGTGAATTCTCCACCAACCATGTACAGGTATGTATTTACACCGCATACATTCCCAAGTGCATGGAAATGATCACTGAGGCTTAACCATCACCAGTATCTCACATTTTATTAAAGGCAGAGGCTAATCCCACTAGAGTTTACATCAGACTGGTAAATATTAACTACAGCTGTGACAATATTCTTACTTCTTCCTGACTCTTGGAAAGTCTGTTATATGCCTTGACTCAATGCACTGCCCTAGCCTCAGAGTTTCATTTGGAATGAGATTATTTGATAGGTGGGCATTTTGATATTCATTATGTCAGCACCCTTGTTAATCATGATAGACCAGAAGCCATCAACTGCTCCAGGTGATTCTTAAAATAATTCTGACTTAAAAATAAAAATAAAACCTGGGTAACAACTCAAGTTGATACAAATGATGAACTGTTAACATTATAGAGTCAAAGGTTTTCTCAAACTTGAGCTCAGTAATTGTTAGTACACCTATCCCACAAAACCAAACCAATGAAATGCTATATTATCAAATCAGTTCCTCAAGTCTGCATTGTTGACCTCAGTTCTCTGAAATGTTCTTAAATACCCATTATCTGTCCATCTTTCTTATGAACAGTGCACCCCAATACTGATGTCACAGAAGTGATTTTGGAGTACTTTTACTGCTGCACTTTCTTAAAAAAATGTTCTTTCATTAGTAGTTATGCTTTCATATTCCCACTCAAATAGGATGTGCTCACTGTGGACCATGTACTATATAGGTTTGACTTCGTCTATTTTAATTACTCACACTATGCTCCTGAACTATGCACTGCAGACACTTAAGCAGAAAAACAGTCACCATTTGTTAGATTTGTCTTACAATATCAATACCTTGGTGTCTTATTTTATCTGTTGCTAAAACATTAGGCAGCATTTAATAGCATCAAATCTCATTACAAGTGCATGTTAGTTTAATGGAATTCATGGCTCATAGTTTCTTTGATAAATACAGAGAATCTTGGAAACTGTATCTTGAAAAACCTTTGCAGAGTGAGTCATGAGATGCTACTAAGTATTTGCAAGATGAGCATCAAGGCCAAATTTATTTGCCTTTGTACCACAGACTGTATGAGCAAAATTCAATTAAAATGTGCATTAGCAGTGTAATTTAAGACTGAGATGGATAAAAAAAGAGCACTACCATCTAGAAAGTCAAACTTATCATAGAAGGAAACAAAATGTCACAGTACCAGCCATACTATTGATTAGCAAATCATCTCTTGGAAGTAAAATACAAGTATTTCACAGCAATGAATGCTTAGCACCACAACTAAGTGCCAAATAGTTTACCCACCCTGTAGTTTACCCATAAAAAAATTAAACTTTATTATTAACTACAATATGACCCTGTAATCTGTCCTGCAGATATGAGTTCAGCCATTTCATCAGGATGTTGGCTGGATTCAAACTTTGTGGGGGTATGGCTTAATGGTCTGGCCATTTATCACTGTCATCCACAGAGTGATTGCAAATTAAATAATCTGTGTGGTCTGAGGTTAAGACATGCAGAGCACATTTGTCAGAGAATGTAGCATATTAGCATAAACCAAAGATGCTTGGTTGAATGAAAGAACAAATGTATTTGTTTGCATTTGCCTGTAAACCCATGTGATCTCACAATCTCATAAGCTCATTTTTATTTCATGCCTGCCATCGTAGCAAAACTTTCATTCAAATTAAATAATGATTTTCTTTTGAAACTGTCATTTTCACAAGCATGAGTTTGTCATTACAAAAAATTATATATCTACAAAAAATGCTACCAATTGTATGCACAATGAGCATCAAAACCACACATAATTGTAATAACTACTGACAGTTTGTTAAATACGCCTCACTTTTACAAATTTTTTTTCAAAATTCCCATGAAGACACAGTTCAAAGTAAATGTATGCCCTGACTACAACAATAAGGCAAACATTAAGGTATCCCTAGGAGTTTTTAACTGCCCATTACACCGTGAAGCAATGATTTTACAAGCGTCCCCATTTTGTTTGCATTGTGCATGCTCTAGAGGACATCGATGCAGGCGATGAGAAGCACATTCACTCTATTCCACTGAGCCAACAGTTGGTGAAGATAACGTACACAGGGGTGTAGCAATGTGCCCTTAAAAGTGGTGGAAAAGAAGACTGCTAGCAAACAAATGTTCATAAATAATGCAGACTGGGGTGCCATGGTGGCTGAGTGTACAGGATGCATAGTACAGACCTCCAGTAGAGTTCAACTCACAGCTGGAAGACCTTTGCTGCATGTCACACTCCTTTTTCTCTCACCACATTTCCTGTCACTCATTATAAGGTTTACTATGTCAGAACAGAACAGCAGATGATCCTACTTTCCTGACAATGCCACTAATCTCCTGCCATGTTGGCTCTGTTTCTCTGAGTTCTGGTCTGGTCTGCAAATGAATGAATGAATTTTCTCCCAGTCCATGCTACCTGAGGAGCCCACTAAATTAATATTCCCAATTAAAACCTATCACTTTAGCTATCTTAACAACTTCAATTTCATTTACACACATTTTTGCAGGCACACAAACAAAAAAGGAAAATCTTCCTCTTCGAACTTCTCTAAAACCATCTAAAACACCTAGCATGTCATGTTGAAACTAAGAAATGTAGGCAGGCATGTAGATGGAAGGATGGATGGAGGCATTCAGCTCTGTGTGTAGACATTACAGGGAGTCTGTACAGCTTAGCTGCTTTTTGCATACTAATTTGTGAATTCTCCTCCAACCATATATATACTCTATGTATTTGACATCATGCATTCTCAGGTGCATGGAAATGATCACTGCGGGTTTGTGGGTACAAGCACTGCTTATTTAAAGCATTGTCTAATCCATTCACAGTTCACATCAGAATGGTAAATAGCAACTACAGCCATGAAACATTTTCTTGCTTTTTTGTCTCTCCTTGAATTACATGCCCTGGCTCAACACACTGTCTCTGCCTCAGACTTTCACTTGGATGGAGATTATGTGATAGGTGGACTTATTGATATTCATCATGTCAGCACCCCTGCTACTAATGATAGACCAGAATCCATCAACTGCTCCAGGTAAGCCTTATAATAAAGCTGGGAGGATAACATCCAAAGTTAAAACAAATGAGGAACTGCTAGCATAACAGACTACTTTATTACACAATAAACAGTTTTGCTTAAACTCAAGTTCATGGCTACTGTTAGTTATACGTCCCGAAAACCATATATAATAAATCTAACTTCTGAACTTGAAACTAATGGCAAGGTCTTACCTTACCTTAACAGATTTTACTCTTTCTCAAATTGAAAGGCTTTACTGTAAATGCAAGGTTATTGATTATAGTTTTGTAGTACATTTTGCTCTAAGCCTATCCAGTAAATTAGTAAGGTGCTGCAGACCATTAATTCTGACTTCAGTCCTTTTTCCATGAAATTCCCCTCCACTCTACAGGTAATAGCTAGCCATGTGGATATTACAGATGTCTGTGTAGAGACCTGAAGATTGATCGTGTTAAAGCCAATCCTATTCTCCTTTCAATGTCCACAGTCAACCCTTCCTTTTGAGAAGCTATCGGAGCTTTCAGTTGATGAGATTCTCTGTAGAGGAAATAAATAACTCTACTGACCTACTGCCAAATGTATCTCTCGGCTACGAGATATTTGACCACTGCTCAGAGACACAGAATTTCCCAGGAATTTTGAATCTCATCTCAGTCAATGGCTTGGTCCAACCTTGGAGTGAACCAAACATGAATCTGTCCAGACTGATAGCAGTGCTCATCTCTTCTAGAAGCACGGAAACAATGAGTGTAGCCTCGATCTTCATGGCATATCTTATTCCTGTGGTAAATCTGTCAACTGTACCAGATCCATTAATTAATGGTTTCATACCAATTTATACAATTGCATTTACCTTTTGAGAATTTGTTGTCACTGTACATAATAAAACCTTCTCTATTATGCTTTTAACAGGTCAGTTATGGAGCTACTGAATCTGCCATTTCAGGGAAACCTACATTTTCATCTTTCCTGCAAACAGTGCATCCCAATGCAGCACTCATTGAAGTGATTTTTAACATTGTACAGCACTTCAGCTGGCACTGGATTGCTTTCCTCATCAGTGATAATGACCTTGGCAAAAATGGCTTGAATTTGTTCAAAAAGAGGATTAAAGATACTGAGATCTGCCTGGGCTACACCCAAAAGCTCAATGACAAAACAATTTACTCTGATGTGCTCCAAAAGATAGAATCACAGGGGACAAATATCATTATTGTTTTTGCTAATGAAATGACAGCTGAAGCTCTCATTGAATCAGCAATAAAACTGAATATCACTGACAAGGTGTGGATAGCAGGGGATACCTGGTCCTTAGATGAGAAGCTCCGCATGAAGAAAGGAATTGAAAATATTGGAACTGTACTTGGGGTTTCTCAGCCTGCAGTGACAATAAATGGTTTCAGAGATTTCATCTATACTTCCAAAAGCCATAATCACTTTGACAATGCAGAACAGCAGAAAAGTTGTAATCAGGTTTGCAACTGCAATGGTGTGAGTGCAGAAGATATCCTTGCTGTGGATTCATCTGTCTCTTTTCCTATTTATTCTGCCGTATATGCCATCGCTCATGCCTTACACAAGACTTTGCAATGTGACCTTGGTAAATGTAACACCAATATGACAGTCTACCCATATATGGTAAGTATACAAATGATTGGATAATTAAATTTTATCCGCATCATTTCTAATCTGAATTTTGACTTGTAGTTGAGTCAGTCATAATTCCTACTACTAATGTGTGTTGTTATCATATCATATATATGACACAACATACATAAAACTTCACACCCTCAAAACGTTAGGAAGGAAATTTCAGAGGAAAGTCTGCAGTGTATCAAATCCCTTCCAAAAAAGAATGGGGCAGGAGCCTAGAAGGGGACACCACGAAGCAACTTTACTCATTCCTAGCAATATTTTAACTACCTATTTAATCAGCATGAATTTAAAAGCAGTAATGGTTATCTGTACTTTGTGTACCCACACCAGGTCCTCAAAGAGCTGAGGAACACAAACTTTACGCTTTTAAACCAGAGTATTCAGTTTGATGAGGATGGTAATCCCCTCTTTGGATCCTACTCAGTAGTTTTCTGGAACCACAGTGGTGGTGCACAGGAAATCGGCTTTTGTAATGTTCACTCATCAGTTGACTGTTTCATCAATGGCACTGAAATTCAGTGGTACACCGAGGGAAATGTAAGCTGTCTTTTTTCTTTCTATTATAGTACAATATATCAAGACTTTTATGTTGATTTAAATGCCTTGTTTTGTTTCCCCCTCCATCCAGATAGATGTATTTTGTGTAATATATTGTCTTATAGCATGTTCACATTGTATAAAACCTGTCAAGAAATAGAACAGCTGTATAATTGTAGTGACTTCCACCTTCTTCTCAATCCTAAACTGTTTTCTTTCCTCCATTTACTTTTCTGCTAAACAACTGTGTTGTACAGGTGCCTACTTCACTATGTTCCGAGGATTGTCCCATAGGATACATAAGAGATAAAAGCGACAAATGCTGCTTCACTTGTGACATCTGTCCAAATGGAACCTATGTAAATGAAACAGGTAAATTACATCAAAACAAGACAATTAATAAAAGCAGCACTGCCATTCCTGCCTTGGTGGGAGCAACACTGTCTTGTTAATATCTAAGACCTCTAAGACAATTTTAATACAAAAAAAATTCTAAAAACATCATCCAAAACAGAGTACAAAAAGACACTACATCCTCATCTGTCTTTTCAGAAGTTAACCTCAACTTTACTGACAAACTGTCCCTATCTCATGCTCAACAGAGGATCCCTACAAGTGCAACAACTGTAAGGAGACAGAATGGTCTGAAGAAGGCAGTACATCGTGCAGTCTGCGGTCGGTGGAGTACATTCCCTTCACAGCCATGGAGTCTGTCCTGATCATGGTTTGGACCTGTGTCTTGGTAGGCCTCATACTAGCTATGGCTGTTCTCTTTGCCATCAACTACAACACCCCTGTTGTCAGATCTGCTGGGGGACCAATGTGCTTCCTAATTTTAGGCTGCCTTAATTTATGCAGTGTTAGTGTGTTCTTTTACTTTGGTAAGCCAACAACTTCATTTTGTATCCTAAGGTTCTTTCCGTTTATCTTGTTCTATACTGTCTGTCTAGCATGTTTTGTTGTGCGCTCTTTTCAAATTGTTTGCATTTTCAAAATGTCCAACAAGTTCCCACAGTTCTACAGATGGTGGATGAAATATAACGGACAATGGCTGGTCATCGCTGGGGCATTTGTTACTCAGGCACTCTTTCTTCTTATTGGCTATAGTTATGCACCCCCAGGGCCCTACAATGAAACACTGTGGTACCCAAATGAAATCATACTTTCTTGTGACATTAATATTAATGAAACTGCAAGTTCTATGATTTTACTTTCTTGTTTGTGCTCCCTTTGCTTTATTTTTTCCTACATGGGGAAAGACCTCCCCAAAAATTACAATGAAGCCAAAGCAATAACCTTCTGCCTGCTCCTCCTGATCATCACCTGGATCATCTTTGCTGCTGTGTACATGCTTTACCGTGGCAAGCACATTCAAACTATTAATGCTCTGGCAGTACTCTCCAGTCTTTACTCCTTTCTCTTTTGGTATTTCCTTCCAAAATGTTACATCATCATTTTTCAACCCCACAAGAACACACAGCAGTACTTCCAAGGTCTCATTCAGAATTACACCAAAACAATTAGCCAGTAGATGCCTTCAGTACATTACATTACATTACATTTGTGTGTCTAGACAGAAGAACTGATGTGATCATTTAGACAGACTGAGGCTAGGGGGAAGCAGCTAGCCTGGCTCTAAGCTACTACCCATGAACTAATAGTAATTTCATGTTTCACAAATTCACCTCTGTAAGTCACAGCAAGAAAGCAAAAAAGCGCACTTCCCAAAATGTCACTGTTTGAAAGACACAGTGGATACTAACTTTATTGGTTTCCATTCATATAATCTAGTCAAATGTTTATAGGTTGGCAAGTAGATTACAGATCGAGTTAAAGCTGTACAGTATGTCCCTTCATGGTAAAACTTCCTGGCCTTGCTAGGCCAGTACTGAATCACACAAACAGCGGACATTAAAAATAAATTCCCTGGTGAAAAAGATACTGTAAATCTCTGCACTTAGTTCTTTGAAACCAAAATTCAGAAATGTACATACATATGAGAAACAGCTGTTTTGATAACTTGTATCTTTTCACAACTAACTACAGAATAACTACAGAATGTGTGCTTTAATTTGTGTTGGTAAATTGACTGAACCTATAAATTTCAAAATTCTAATGTACACTATGTTTTAAAAGAATAAAATAGTATCATTAGGTCCTGTGTTGTTTAAAGCCTCATATCAATAAAGATTTAATATGGAACACATTTGTTTTTTTGCTGTAACACAGATTTTACTATATCATAGCAATACTTTGCTGTGATGTTTGGTACATGCCAGACTACTACTAGACCTTGAATATCCATGTTTGAATCCGTTTTCCACAAATGTCAATATGTAGCTAATGTCTTCATAGTCTGAGAGTAGATATAAATATTTATAGTTATTACTGTGTTAATCTTAAAATGTGAATTTAAAATAGGTGTATTGTTTATTATACGAGTTTACCGCCTCTGTTTCCACATGCAATAGGATTTAACTTAAAAAAAAAAGTCAAATGTGTAGTTTAAGCCTGAGATGAACAGACAGAGAAAGAGAAGAGGACTAAATATAGAAAGTAAAACCTAATCAGAGACCAAAGTCAAATGACAGACAGGATACGCATCTTTTTAAATCATTTGTGTTGCACAATCTCAGACTATGGACTATTATTTCACTACACACTGTATTGTATACCAAGTCAATTTCCTATTTGGCCTTAATGTCCAATAATACTTCAGTCTCACAGCTGACTCATCATTTTGATTGCCCTTTTAAACTTCAGTGGGCAACATGTCTCATCTGGTAAGGGCCTAGCCCTTCCTTCCAAGAAGAACAAAGAGTTCTGTGTCTGGTCTAGGAGGAATTCAAATTCTGGTGAGAGTCCTGACCATTAAGCCCTTTCATCTGCTAAGTGATAGCAAATTTTCCTCTTTCAAATGAGCTGTGTGGTCTAGTGTTAAATTATATTTGGATCATTTGTAAAAGAGAAGTGAGAGCTTAGCATAAAACAAAGATACTGAGCTAAACTAATTCAATTTCTGTGTATTTCCTGGACTCTATTTTGTGTGATCCTACAAGCTCAGTGATGAATTTTCTTCTAAAGACCCATTAAATTTTGAAAAATTTACAAGTTCATTAACAGCCTTAGGGCCACGACATAACACAGTGTGTGTATTAGCAGCATGGGGCAGCTTTCTGTAATTGTTGTCAATGAGAGTGAAAAGTTTTGTGTGCTGCTTTTGCATTGCTGAGTACCTCACATTTTTTGTAAGAGCGACCCAAATGCATCCAATTGAAAAAACTTCAACTCAGAACAGAAAAAAAACATCATTGCAGTTTTTTCTACTGTTCAATCAGATGACTTCAGAGGTCCATATGCAGCCACAGACCTGGCCAAATTTAGGTCTTTATTAAAGACGTACTTATTTTCTTCGGCTTTTGGATCATAATACAATTGATATTGTATGTGCTGTCTTTTATCTGTCAGATGGCAGATGACCTGTGGTGATGTGCATAAATAGTCCAGGTTGTTGTGAAACTGATTACCTCTTTCCACTCCTGCAGGGAACAAATGTTAGTCAGAATATTTTGTTCCCTTTTAGTTGATTCACACTGTACAACACATATTACATGGGACATACATACAGCGGGCAATGGGCTCACATATGGATTTAGACTCTGCAGTAACATGGCACAACAGCACCATTGCTTAGCTATCAAGGTAGCTTAACTTTAGCAACACAAGCTAACCTTTCTGTATAACAATAATCATTAATCAATAACAATAATCTGTGCTAACAATCTAACTACTCTATTGGTATAATCAATCCACACAAGGTTGGGGGTGGGGTGTTAAGGTGATGAAAGCTGCCACCATACACATCATGTGAAACCAGCCAGTAGCACAATTCAATTGCAATAACCAGGTTTCAACCAATAGAGGGCGCTCCCAATGCATATTTATAACAACATGCAGAATTCAAATACTTCACACTAAAATGTCAATATTAGGCCCTGACTCAATCAGCAACACAACTAAATCTGCTGGGAAAAAGGTGGTTTCAGGGTTAAATTTACAAGAGCCTGTCAAGAAACGAGCAGCAACATTTGGGGCAATTGCAGGTGAGAAAAGGAAAACTGGTGAATTCT